CCTGCTTAAAGCTTATTTCATGGGACCCAGACAGGGCTTGACAGGAGTTGCTTGGATACCAATCGCAACCTTTATGAAAAATTGGCAACCAATTGTTTGCTTTGGTTCCCACCAGTGGTAACTACCTTTAACATATTTTCATCATTAAGTTGAAGTATAACCGGATAGTGTCTTAATGACTTAAAATATAACGTGACTAATATTTTCAATGTAAGCTACCGCTCTTAACAGATTGTGTTAAGCCCTGCCAGGTAGACTGTCATTATCTCACTGTACTGAACAAGGACTTAGAAGCAGGGATTTCCATGTGATGAAGCCCTCCATTGACAAAAGGGTGTAGCATGCCTAGGCCCTGACATAATAACACACCTACAGGCCCGACAGCCGACACACATGTCGAAGGTAAATACGCGTGTCAGAGGGCACGGGAGCACAGACAGACATGATGAATTGCCCAAAGTTCCCACGAGGCGACACACATACAAACTTGCTCGGCAAGAGAGGAAGGTGATGTGTGGTCAGCCTCTCCTCATCACTGCAATACAGAGAATCCCATTCACACACTGCACCTACCCTCTATGTCTCATCATTACTTATCACAACAATGGCACTGTAACACCATACCTGTCTGCAGATTTCGCCGTATATGTGAGTGTCGTTTAAAAAAATGGGTGAATGCAATGCTGCAATGCTGCTCGGTTGAATAGATGAATGTGTAAATATACTTTTTTGGGGTGAAATGTCTTCCAATGATGTGTGTGTGAGTGCACATGCCGTATATGCGTTTATATCTGCTGGTGTGTGTGCTCAGGCCCCTCAGAGAGATCAGCGAGCAGGGACATGACCTTGCCAGTACAGCTGGTCTTTCTGTGTGTTTAGTCAATGTAACCATGGCAATGGCACTGTGCAGACACGATGTCTACATTTGGGATTTGAAAGTCATAACGTCGCTGCCGCTCTAAGCTTCATTATGCCATGGATTACTGTAACTAGCCAACAAACGGATACATGAACACACTTCACGGACAGAATTGAATTTAAGGGTTACAGGTCATGGGTTATAACATTTGCACCGTGAAGAATAGCTCATTTAAGTTTGTAGGCTGAGTTATGAGTAATGATAAAAACATGTAAGCATTATATAGCCGATATTTAGCTTTTGCCGTATGACACAAAGGGTATGATTATATCCAAATAGTCCACACATGTTGAGCAAATGTCCAAATCTCTGGCGAAAGAAAGTGTGAACACATGAAACGCAGGATTTTCTATGACTAACTGTTCAGCAAAACATGCAAGACATAAGAGTGTATAATTGATAGAGCTCCTGCTTTAGTATTACACTGAGGGATTAGTTTTATTTTATGAGGTATTTTGTTCCAACATTTGGTTTGGTTAAAGTAGTGAAATTTAACATAATAAAAGAAGAGGAAGAAAAAAAGCCCTCAGCATGTCTTCAACATTTATTTTTCCATTACATCGTTCTCAAATCTTCCAACGCAGCATGATTTGTGCTCTGAATACATTTCTATTTTCAATCTCTGGCACATCCATTAAGGCTTTCCTATGTGAACAAATGTGAATCAACAGGTGGATGTGGTGCAGGTGTTTGCTGATACATGTTGTGTTTAGTCATTCTTCTCTCTCTCTCTAGCTCTACAGACTCTGCTCCAGCTTTCCTCAATCATTTCCCTGTTCTTTCTTCCACCACTTCCTCCATCATTCTCCTCCTCCCTTCCTCTATCCATCACCCCCATTATCAATCACTCTCTCATTCTATCATGTACTCTTTCCTCCCTAAGTCCCTGCTTCGACTACGCTCTTTTCTTTGGTTTACTGTCTTGCAGAGTCTCTCTACTGATGTTTGCACAATTTCCCCCTCCATCTCTCAAATGGTCAACCCCCCCCCCACTCTACCTCTAAAAATGTCCACTGTGTCAACTCTGCATCTCTTTATGTGCATGCCTCAAAGCTGCCGCTACCTTTTTTCTTAACTCTATCAGCATTTGCCATCACTAAAATGTAAACAGAGATAATATCAGCTCCATTCCCAGTGTCTACAGGAGGATCAGGTTGAGTAAGCCACTGCAATGTTGTGGCATATAGTATTATCCAATTCAGACTATGGAAACATCTCAATGACTAGCTATTCAAAATGTCCAAACACATCATTTCTCTATTGTGCACCTACACCTCGTGACCCGAGACTCATTTAATGGCTAGCTTCTCCAGAGGCCATCTGTGTTAGTATGAGTGTGTGTGCGTGTGTGCGTGTGTGTGTGTGTGTGTGTGTGTGTGCGTGTGTGTGTGTGTGTGTGTGTGTTGTGTGTGTGTGTGTGTGTGTGCGTGTGTGTGTGTGTGTGTGTGTGTGTGTGTGTGTGTGTGTGTGTGTGTGTGTGTGTGTGTGTTTGAGTACTGTACAGTATGTTGGAAACTCAATCTGGTGTGGGGTGATAGAGCAGACCCGCACCGCTCCTTCTACATCAAGCATTCAGCTCCATATCTGAAAAGGCATATATAAAATAGGCACTCTCCATCTCTCTCTGTCTCATCACAAACACACACATGCAGCCACATATACACACACACACACACACACACACACACACACAGACACACGCACACACACACACACACACACACACACACACACACACACACACACACACACAGACACACGCACACACACACACACACACACACAACCCAAGCTAGGAATCCCAGCATGCAATGAGAGGATATTGAAAATGATTTTTTCCCCTCTTGTCTCTTTCATTAACAGTGTTGAAAAGCAAAGAGTCTGCTCTCTCTCCCTGGCTTATACACACACACGCACATTAAACAACACACACAGAGAGCTCCCCATTTCATTGGGGAACGTGCCTCACATGGTTTGCTTCAGCTGGTCTTCTTGACAAATGCCACATTACAGCGGGGAGAAGGAGAAACTTGGCAAGCAATCAAACTTCTCTCATGATTTCTAAGATTTGAAATACTTCAGTTTGTGTAGCCCCTCCATTCCATCCTCCCCTCCCTCTCATTCTCTCTTTCTGTCTACTTCTTTTTTTGCCTTCACTCTAACTCCCTCTCTCTCTCTTGTTACCTCTCCTTTCTCTGCCTTATCTTTCCTGTTTAGTTTTCCCTGTGCTAACTTGGACCAGAGCTGTGCTGTGGGAATACGGCCCCTTTTAAAGCAAAAAGCCAAAGTTTGTGTGAGTGTGTGCATGTCTACATACGTGAGTGATTATATGTGAGTTCCACTGAGGTTGTGTGTACATTCTGCATGCGTATCTTTGTGGCTTGTACAGATGTAAGTCAGTCTCACGAAGCTTCGCCCCTCGCAATTCAACAGTCCTTTAATCCTCATCATCAGTGACCCCAAACCCTTGCCTCTGACCTATTCTTACACACAGACACATACAGGTTCAAAGCGACAAAAGACCACACACACACACACACGCACACACACACACACACACACACACACACACACACACACACACACACGCACACACACACACACTCGTGCCCCCTGTGCCCCCTACATTAGCTCTTACCAGTGGAGACTTGCATTCAGTCAAAGTCTCAAACACAAAGGCAAATAATCCCATCTACTTTGTTGCCATTTATGTCAACCAAGCATCACACTAAGCTTCTTCCTCAGACACCCTTTTAATAATAATTTTAAATGAATTTAACCAGAGTGACAATAAAGTAGAGTGTCATTCACATGGTAGGTCTGTGAGTATTTTTCTAATATAATGTACATACCCAGGAGCACAGATTTAGTCTGTTTCATATGTAATACATTTCCTCTGCTAAACAACCCCATGTAATGTTTGGATGGTGGAAATTGAAACAGACATATAGTTGGTTTGAATCACAAGTGTGTGTATGTGCAGATACACGGGCAGGGCACTCACTTTCTTGGTCCCCGGCACATACAATGTACACATATACGTATTGTAGGCCCATACACACATTCCTTCCGAGTTAGTGTGATCAGAGGGTTTTGTGAGGCGTAATGAATTTTAAAAAGTTGTGTTTTCAATACATATGTGCCAGCCTTCCCTTTTGTACTGTACAGAGTGGCTCACATTAAAGGCATTTCTCTGCAGCACATGACAACCAGATATGTGGCTCCATGCTCCTTCAATCAGAGAGCTCAAAGCAAACACACATGTAGCCGCTCCACTGACAGATCACTGAACTTCACTCACACATTCATACAAACGCACTGACACACACTCACACATGGAAATATAGCCAGTCCTGCTAACTTTCCTCCTTCTCTAAATCTCTCTCTGTCACACACAGACATACAAATGAACAAAACAGCCAAACACACATTTTTCTAGCCTGCTGTCTAAGGCTGCACCACCTGTCCTTAATAAATGTAACTTTTCACGAGACAGCTAAAGACAACGGCTGATCCTGCTTTAAAACACACCTCAGGACTGATGTCTATATAACACTCTTGTGGAGAGATGCACATGTGAACAGGTGAGCGTAGAAAAGGGCCTAATACAGTATTAGACACAGGTTTCTGCTGCAGCAAACAAGCTGCTGTGCAGGATGATGGAAATGCACGCATGAAGCACTGAGCGAACTGCGCCAATGTTAATAAAAAACCCTTCATCATATACTTTTATAGACTGGGTGTGTAGTCACTACCAAAAGCACTTGTGTTTTTTTTCTTTTTCTGACTGTTTATCTTACTGCAGTTACCAGCAACTCTGCATTACACATCATGCTTTGTCTGCCAATATACATGCAGTTTAAATAATAAATAATACTGCAGTAGTAAAGTCTTTTTTTAACTGATGTAAGACATGCATTTTATTAATGTAGAAGTAATGGCATGAGGTTCCACAGAGTGTGATCCGATGTGACCTTTTACAATTTGAAAGGAAAACATAAAGTAAATAAATAAATAAGATATACATACTTTGTGGATATAATGTTTTATATAAAGAAAAATAGCTGAGTTTGAGACTAACTTCATTTCCAGAATCTCCTCCAGCTGTTTCCGTCGCTCATGGCGAAGACTGTTGAGGTGCCCGTCTCTCTCATGCAGGGACTGCTGGGTGGAGGACAGATGCAGCTTGGTGGCATCAAGCTCCTGACGTGTCTTCTCTAAAGCCCCCATCAGCTCCTCCAACTATTCAAGGGGATAACAATATGATCAGGTTAAAACATCACCAAATGTATCAGGTTACTAGCCCTCATTTCTCTGTGTCCATTCAATCATTTAATATTTCATAATAATATTAAAAATAAAAGATATATTATATACTCGCAGTTAGTTTTTGTCACATACACATGGACATAAAGTAATGAATTACACATTTATTTGAACTTGTATTAGTTTTTTTACTTTGAAAGTGGCCAGATGTAATCTAGGAGCAGGTGAAATTACTGAGGTTTAAAGGTGATATGATATGTCCACTGACCCTTGGACTGGAAACAAGAGTTCCCTCTTGTCTCCCACCTTTCTCCACTCATTTGATCTCACTCTCAAGTGTGGCTCTACTTTAGAGCAGGTGAGAATAATGCTCAACCCCTCAACTACATCTCCTCCCTCTGCACACACATGCCCTCCAGCCATGCAGGCCAACCTGCGTGTCTGAAAGACAGGATGTGACCTCAGGGCATCAATTATTCTAAGACAGGAAGTCACTAATTGTCTAACAACAAGTACTTTACAATAGGATGCAGTACTAGGCTGTCTTGCTCATAAGATGTAAATGGAAGGTCACAAACATTTAAATGTATCTTTGTTTTGATGATTTGTAGATGTGTTATGTAATATAGTAAAGCAATCATTTCTGGTGTTGGGCCTCAAATGAACAAAGGGAAAGAAAATGAAAAAAAAAGAAGCAAAAAAGAAAGAGGGAGTATTAGGGGAAAGCACTCCATGGGGTAGGACATGAAAAAAGAAATGGGCCTCTTTTATGAAGGGGCCAAATCGTTCACACATTTTCAGGACACTCTCGATCTCCGCTGGTTTTCTAGGTGTGTTTCACAGATGTCAGATAATGTGCTCACTGACTGGTCATGAATATCACATATGGAGTCAGAGAAGAAAGGGTGAAAGCATGCCGAGAATACGGATATTTGAAATGGTGGGAAAGTGACAACTCTCAGTCATGAAGCCCTCAGAAGCATTGTTTTAAATATAATACACCCTATATCCCTGCCAACAACAACTGACCTCTGCAGTATCCAGCAGATAATATAACCAATATCAACAAGACATCCAACCGTCCAAAATCACACCCTGTTTAATGTTGGATTTCTTCTTTGAGGCTTAAAACAATCCAAAGCCAATCTTTTTATCTTGAAAGCCAAAGGTCACACACACACAACTCCATTTACACCCACCACATGTCTATCAACCCTCATGCACCAACTGCCTACCTCCCGATCCCCCATTAGTCCACCACCCAGGCTAGCCTGCACTTCACAATCACATCATTAATAAGGAATACAATGCATTTTAGTGAAATTAGGGACCTAATCAGCTTAGCGGTGAGCCTGTGCGTGCTAATTTAGCTCAACTTCAAGGCAAAGCCCCCCAGCCAGGCTAAGGCTCACTAAGACTGGCCCAAAGCCCCTTTAGTTGTTAAGCTGATTGGGGGCTCAGAGGTAAGGGCCAAATCCCTCTTGTCCATTTGCGTCGGTGTTGCTGGTTCAGAGGCCTAGTTCAAACGGCAAAGAGGGGGAGAGAGGGAGAGACACAGGAACTTAGATTGAGAGAAAGGGATAGAGAGGGTGGAGATGATTGGTTGAGACAACTTAAGAAGGCAGATGGGAAAGAACGAGGTTCGGGGACGAAGAATGGACAGGAGAGATGATGGCAGGAGAAGGACAAGAGACAGAGAGAGGCAGAGACGGGGTGAGAGACTTAGAGGGGGTGTGAAGAAAAGCGACCCGGGGCATTACCCATGCTCCATTTCAGCAGGTCAGGCTGATGGAGGACTTGTTTCAGCGCATTACACATCATGAGACTGATTACTCCGGGACAGAGGGGAGAAGAAAGAGGAAAAACCAAGGAAAGGAGTGTGTGGGGGGGGGGGGGGGGAGAGGGTGATGTGAGAATGTGAGTCTGGCAGCGCGCTCTGAAACGGTGCCAGGGTCAGGTGATGTTTCAGAAGGACCTGTCCCCCTCTCTGGTCCCCCAATATCCCTTTCCACACACACTATGTTTCTCTGGAGTCTGAGGCGAGAGTGGTAGTTGACTGATGACTGTGTAACTGCATGTTAATGGCATGTTGACTCGCTGCCTCCGTGTGCAGTGACGTCTTTCTGGCTCACAAAGTTCAGCGTGTTAACAGAACCTACTGTAGCAGTGAGCATCAATGCTGAGAGGAACAGTGCCACATGGGGACCTTTCCTCGTGTCAGTGCCGGCTCAATACGTGTCAAGTGCAGTCGCTAGTATGACTGCATGCTGCCTCGTTATATTCTCTATGTGAAGGATGTGGATTGACTTGAAACAAAGGCAATTTCAATATAAGTTTTGGGTCAATGAGTTTATCCTGACACAAGTTAAAAAACAACCTTTTCTGGCTAGACAGAGGTAAACTTTGGTCAATGCTGAATCATTCACTTTACTCATGCAAAAGTCCCACAGACATAAATAAACTTTTCCTTTGGACTTCTCTGTGAATCAGAATAATGTTTGATAAACACAGTATCCATGCTGACGGTAAGTCAAGCGTGCAAAGTCCAGAAATTGCAAAAATGAAGAAGAAAAACAGCCACAGTTAGTATTGGCTCTCACAGACTTTTCTAAACCTCCTATTTGCCTGTTTTGTGCAGCAATCTCCTCGCTTCATCTTTAAAGTTTTCTCAATAAGGTTCTGTCTTTGAACGCACCCTTTGTGTGGGTGAAAGCATATAAATGTGTGTTTGAAGCAATGCAGCACCATTCTCCCTCAAAATGTTAGTTCTTGTTCTAACCGCCAATTGCTCTCATATTACTTGTGGCACTCATCAGTAATGCAAGGTCATTCTCATTCAAATGCACACTCACACCAAGAGGAAACACACTCCCTTGCCCTGTTTCTCTTTCCCACCACAGACACACCTATGCTCTCTCTCACACACACAAACACACATTGCAAAACGCACACAATTACACTTTTTGGACCCACTTAAAGAGTTAGACTGGCCGGCTGGCAGTCAGACAGACAGATATATATATATACTGAGTAAAAGGGCAGCCTGTACTCCATCAAGACTACAAGTCTATAGATGTGTTAATGAATTCCGATTGCATGCTCATGCACTCACAATATGTTTAACATATGCTCACATTTTCAAGCATGCAATAGCAAACTTAACGAGAGACAGAAATGAAAGGATGCTGGGAGATTTTGTTTCAGTTTTTAAGAGGTAGAAAATAAACAAGCGCATGTTTAGAGAATAAAACTAAATTAGGCAGAGAATAAATATAACAGACAGAAACCAAAACACAATGATCCCATTTTTGTAATGATATTTGTTGGTTAAAAACTAATATTAAGGGATTATGGATCATTCATCATCCACAGTCGGCCTGCAGTTCCACTCTAAGCCACATGGGGGTGCAGTTAAGTTCTTCAAATGTTCTCAGTGGTCTGTTTTAGATCAAGGTCAGCTGATACCTGCAGTCAGTTTTAAAGGTAGGCTGCTTATGCAGGGATGCATGAGACTATCTGTGTGTATGAATGTGTGTGTATGTGTATGCTGGTCCTAAGTCTTCCATCAATGTGTTAAGCTTCAGGTAAACCTGTCTCTGGGACTGGACACGGGCTGTCTCCTCCTGCGCCCAGAGAGCCTCCCTATGTGCAGAGGTGTTCATGCTCTCCCTCAGTGACCTCTCCAACTCTCTGATCCGATCCGCAGTCTCCCGCATGGCATCCTGGGAAGCTGAGAGAGGAAGCTAAGGGGGCGAGAGAAGTTCAGAGAAGGAGGTCGAGGAGGAGGGTTGGAAGCCAAATAGCAAAAGGCAGAGGGAGAGTGTTTTTCTTTGAGAATACTTTGCTTTGAAAACTCATCACTAAATGTTTTTACATTGGAATAATATTATACTAGCAAAAGATAATTTAAGAAAGGGTGTTTTTATTTGATCCCTTTGCGAAAAGAGAAATCCAGTCCATGTAAAACAGAATCAAAAGAAAAGACTTGAGGAAGTAAAAAAGCTGAGGCAAGAGAAGAACAAGACTTCACTCAGAAGGAGACACAGCCAAGACGAAGAGAGTGATAAGTGATGGAGAGATAGAGTGTGTAAGTGCTGTGACCTTTGCCAACATCTATATGAGTGTGCAGCGTGTGCTTATGTGAGAGTGTGGCTGTGTGGAGTAGACCGTGCACGATCACATGCACAGTTTGTGTGTGGCCTCTCTGACACCTACGGTGAGTGGGGGAAAAGGATCCCTCTCCACACTGGGTGATGGAACTGTGAAAGAAAACACTGGACTGAAATAATAAACCCCCCTCTCTCTCTCTCTCGTCTTCTTTTTCAAAAAACTCTCTCCTGCTCCTTAATAGTTGACTTTCCTTCAAGTTCACACGTTCACACTTTTCTGGGAGCAGTGCAGAGGCCTCGGAGTCACATGGATAAGCAGACACTTCTCAAACTGAACCAATTAGAGTTCAGTTGTACTTGTTGCAAAACAAAAGCTAGGGGTTTGCCAAGAGGTTACTTACAAAATCCCAAATAGCCAAAAATACAAGATCAGATGTTGTAGGAGGTACTATATAAGTCACAATCTGATATGAAGAATGAAACACTTGTAAAGCCACTGATTGCACCACCGTACATAAAGTGAAGTAGCAACACTGATTAAATAATTTCGAATAACAATGGTAACATACATACTCTGCATGAGTCAGAGCAGATATCTGCCATCACAATAAAACAGAACATGAAAACAATGATGTGTTGAGGGTAAGAATCAGCACCGGAGGCTTCAACACCACAAACTTGATAACACACTTGTAGAAGCATGAATATAATTAATATGACACGGCACGGGCAACAAGTTGCAATTAGGTGCGTCGGAGCAACACACATTGTCGGGAGCAATGAGCTCTTAAATGTAATCTCAGAAGCCTCTGCATGTAAATGCTAGTTTGAGAGTCGAGGATGCTTAGAAACCATTTTAGATTTGCCGGAATAGAGCTGATGTGTGGAGTTCAACGTTAATGTGCCTGTGTCTAACATTATTATTAAGTCTGACAGCAATCTGAATAGGCAGTTTTTTTTGTATTGTATATAAGAAGCTCCAGGCTAAATAGTGCCTCACACATGGTGAAACTATTTTGATGGCAAAAAATGAATATGCTAAACGCATGGAAAACAGAAAAGAGTGAAGCGAAAGTAATTTTACAAGACAGTGCCTGGAACACGCAAGAGGCATGTGAACTGCCTTTTAACTGCCCCTAATCTGTGAATATTAAGCGAATATTGACTTTGCACCTGATAATGGTGAAACTCTTCGAATTCAATGGTAAAAAGGAAATAGCTTGACTCCTTCATGAAAACTACTTTTGATGACCAAAGAAATCAACTCACTTATTCAGTGGTACGGACTTAAAAACCAGTGGTTGGATTATCCCGGAGTGTGATGAAAAAAATTCCGCCAATGCAGCCAAATCACAAGCGGATACTTGTGGCTCGTCACGTCAGCACGGCACAGCTGGAGGTGAGCGACAAACACCGCACACACACGTACAGAGGCAGGCTGTGTGCATCAACAGTCCAAAGTCATAATTGGATGTGACAGACGGGCAGTAATTCGATGCACCAGAATCAACAAGTACTGGTCTGACCCTGCCTAACAGACAGAAACACACACATGCACACACACACGCACCCCACTGAGATGGGGCTGCCACCGCTGGACCCCCAAGTGAAACCTGACCAAAAAAACTGTGTCTGTCTCTGTGTGTGTGTGTGCATTGGTGTAGTATACGTGTCTGTCTGTCTCTGTCAGTGCATGTCTGCGTGTTACTTGAGTTTTATTAGTAACATGAGAATATTGCTGGCTTTCACATACAAAGAATGGAAAAAAAGGCAAGAGAGATAGAGAGATTCAGAGAGTGGGGAGAAATGGAAAGATAATTGCCTCTGCAGCGCCAATCATCACCTAATGCCCTGGGGAAGGATCATTATGGAGTCTGGCCCTTTCTGGTTTGATGGAGGGATTATAATCACTAAAATAAACGAGCGGAGAGTGAGAGAATGCACATTTCCAGCAGCTGTGTACCTATGATCCTAAGCTTCACACACACAGGCACAAAAACCACACAGACATCTGTCTCTGTCAAAAACGTTAAATGCGCGGCATCAACTTCTGTGTGTCCCATTTCATGTTTAAAACATGTTAAGCATGTGTGCATGGCCAGAAGTTTCATATACAGTTTCAGTCAAATCTACAGGTTGTGGGAACAAGCTTAGAAGGAATGAAAATCCTGAAATGTGTCGATCTTCTTTAACTTTCCCCAGGTTTAAAAAAAAAAAAAGGTTTCTATAATCCTAGTGTCTCTAAATAGAGGTGGGTATCGAGTGTCATTGATGCCCCTTTGTTACAGATAAGAGAGAAATAAAGGCCTGTGTGAAGGCTTTGAAAGTGAACATTTCCGACGAGTGTTTTCTCTGTGTTTGTGAAGTGCAGCGTGGCGCGATGGAGACGATGAAGCGGAGAGATGCTATCACCACATCCCACATAAACTCTCCTGGATGGAGAAGGAGGGGGAACACTGAGGGAAGGCACTGTTTGTTTGTGTTTACCCTCGGAGCGTGCTGTGTTCCTGATGGAACCAGAGATAAATCTAGAGAGAGAGCAAACAGGGCAAGTAGAGCCAGATATGGGGCCACGATGCAACCTGACTGCTGAGCAAACACAATTTACAGAATGCACACTGTATTTAATCATACTGTTCTGGATAGTTGTGTACCAAAATGCCAATGTTTGTGAGGTTCTCCCATTACACAGTTGATTTTAACGAAAACACAGGTTTATTTTTCCACTGTAAAGCTGGTAAATGCTAACAGCACATCTGATCACAATTCATTAATGAACAAATACACCGTTTGGATAAAAAAAAAACAAGGCTTCAGTCATCTCTGGAACTTTCCATTTAGCTATTTCTGTGGACGTCATCTATCTCCCTGACATCAGTTCCACTACTCCCCTGCACTCGTACCTGTACCTACTTCTTTCTTTCTGGCACTCAGTTCATGTCTCTTTCCAGGTTGTAGCAATATTAATGTGTGCTACTCAGACAGTGTTTAGAAGAGGAAATAGGATGTTGGATGCTGCTTGCCAGCACACACAAAAATAACAAAATAACTCTACCAAAAACATACTGCGAGCAGCTCTGGTTCTTTTTGGCAGAGAGTTACAGAGAGGTGTACTCTACTTCATTGGTCCTGTGGGAATAACCTGGCATGGCTACACTCTGCATATTAACACCCCAGCATAGCTGTGCAAGCTTACACAAGCATGTACAGAGACACAGATGCACTGTCAAGCGAACAGCTGACACTCATGTTGACCTCTGAAAAGAACTATAAAAATGACAGAAAATGATGTTACATCAAGATGCTCTCTCCTGCCTGACTCATCAGTTCTGACTATTCACTTCTGAGCCATTATGCCGCAGCTCCTTGCTAGCATATGGAGCTGATTTCTGTAGGACTAAATGCCTATCTCTTCCACCTAGGGCTGACTCTCAGATGCATTCAGGGAGGCAAGGCAGGGGGCATGAAAGACTGGAAAATGTCTTTCTCTGCTCAGAAGAACAGAGTTATACAAAAAGGATGAATCTAGAGAGCAATAGATGAAGGGAAAAAGATGATACTTAGAGAATAGTCTTGCAGAGAGGTGAATAGGAAAATAAGAGGAGAGACTATAGGGCAGTATACATTAGTACAGTAAAAATGAATTAACACATGAACGCACAAACACATATCCAAACCTGCGATAAAGAGTGTGGATGTCCATCAATCAGGCCATCTTTCCTCATCTCACCCGCCACTGTCTGCTTCTGGATGTTAGGGGACTTGACTTGCCTTTAGAGACAGGAAAATGATGTCACAAAAAGAGATGCTCAATAAAGATGTGTTAATTAATCATTGAAACAAAGAAAAAAGTGCATGACCATAGTGTAGTCCTGTAGTAAAGATGTAAGCACATAGCCTATACACAATATACAGAAGCCACAATTAGTTACAATACAATGTCCTTAACCATTACAATTTTTGCTGCTTTTATTGGGATTTGAATAATGATTTTTGACCATAATGTATACCTACTTACAGATTTCTTTTTAAATCCGTATTGCATTATACAGGTAAATGGATGGTAGGAATAGAGTGTGTATAGTAAAGCTGGTAAGTACTGTGTGTATGTCTTGTCTTAGTCTTGGAAGATTGGAACAAGACGAGACTTGACTGATGGAGGTGAGACACTGCAGTGTAAATCTTTCAACAACAAAACACACAAACACAAGCAGACAGGAGATGCAAGCACATTCTCGCACACACACATGCTCAACAACAGATATGTGCAGTAAGTCTACAGATCAAAAGACAGGATGACACAGGCACATATACAAGGGCATGTGCTTTTAGAAAATAAAGTCTATAGACTCTGCCAGGAGCTCTCACACACAGGATAATACATCTGCTGTCAGTGCTGTGCATGCTGAGGTCCTGATAACAGAGCCTAACCGTGTATTACCCAGCCAGGATGGCTTTATATTTACCTCAAAACAATGACTACTTCCTGTCATTTACTGAACTTATGTTGCCAGAAATGTATGGCCCACACTCGAAATAAAAATATGTGTGTATACATATAAAAATATGCATTGACAAACACTCACACTCAATAAAACCCTCCATGGTGCAAACACATGTGATCCCACAAAGCCCATTCACCATAGGACACACACAGCTGTGCCTACACAAACGCAATCTATATCTTCTCACGAGTACTCTCAAAATAGAATCAAAACACACTCTTCGAGCTCCTCGTTTGGCCTTCACACTTGAAAAAAAAAACATGCGTAGAAGTGTGAAAAAGCTGACAGTGACAAATTAGCGCTTAAGAGAACCCTCTAACACTGTAAACAGGCTGTGACCAAGCAGCTGCTTAAAGCGCCACATTATTATTCCATATCCACACGGGTGTGTTTACTCTGGGAAAAACATACAAGCTGCCCCCACATATGGGCAAATACTTGCTGTCACCGCGCTTAGAATGGTATGTGTGTCAGTTTTTATGAGTTATGTTGGTTTGCAATTAATGTAAATTATACGTAACCTTCATAAATGAATACAGTTACACACATCTCCACACACACACAATATTAATATCTGATAATCATCCCCTAGTACTATAGCACAGCTTTGGTCAGTTTGTTAAGCCTGTATTTTCATGTGTCTGGCAAACTTCTTTATTTCTTTTTGTAAGACTTTGCTGTTGATTTTATATGTTGTTATCACTTTTACGAGTGGGTTTTGAAAAGCTCCTTAAATAAAGATTATCATTAAATTCTGATAGCATTATTTATCAAAGGTCGGTACACACATTATGTACATGTGCACATATATTTACACAGTGGAGAAGAGGAGGCGAATCATCTGTTTATACTTCAAACTTTGATGTCTGTGAGTGTGTGTTTTTATAAGCTCACAGGCATGTCCATGGAAGGCAAAGTTGCCATGAGGGCATATCAGCTATCACACACAGCCAAGCACGTGCACAGGTGTATAAACCAGCAGACACGCTGGTCCCTTTTGATAGCTGATATACCCCCATCAACCCATCAGTGCGAAATGAAGTAAATGTTTTGACCAATGTGAAGGCAAATGAGGGCACGTAGAGTGTGAATAATGAGAAGACGGGCTGGGCTGTATGTGAGTGGAAAATATGAAGGAGAACTGTGATTTGTTGAGTACCAGAAGGAGAAAATTCATAGAGGGAAAATAGTATTTTATGGCTGTGACATTTCAAAGAAAGATGAAGTGAGACACAGAGAGAGAGAGAGAGAGAGAGAGAGGAGAGAGAGAGAGAGACGAGAGAGAGAGAGGAGAGATGAGGAGCGAGAGAGAGAGAGAGAGAGAGAGAGAGAGAGAGAGAGAGAGAGAGAGAGAGCATTGTGCATGAATCCAGCCACTTCCTAAACTACGTGTAATAAGTAATTTTCACATTTCCTCTTGCTTCTTTCACCTGGAGCATTGCACACATCTGCCTTCCAACATAAGCAGCCCCGCTTTATTCCTGGCGGTCAAAACACAGCTCTTTCTTTTACCTTGTATATCTCTCTTTATACATATTTTTAATTTTCTATCTTAGCTCATCAACTCTCTCTTTTCCATCAACTCTTTAACTCTCCTTTACTTGTTTTTCACTAACTTGCCGGTCTTACAACTCACATCCTTTTAGAATGACATTGATACAAATAAAAATAAAGTGAATAATTAATCCTCAAGGAGTATTGCTCACACGCCCTTGAGCATGGCACAACAAGGAGGTGAATGGCTTCAGTAGAGCTACTGAGTTGCCAACAGTCGGAAGCTGCGGTCACACTGGGACTCTCCCAGATCTGAATGTGGGAAACTGTGAATTTTAAATAGGGTGTTTCTTGAAAAGAGTCTGTATTCTCAGTTGACTTTTCATGGTTAAATAAAGGTTAAAGGTAGTAATAACCTTAAAGGGAAAAAAAAGATTTGCATCTCCCCTTCATAAGTCTTAATTCTTACTGTGTCTCCTTCTACTCTCTTTTAATAAACAGTAGAGTGAAATCAAATCCTCTGATTTCAAGGTTTGCACAATATATGGAATAAGGGGAAGATATGATCAGAAATAAATACATTTTCTCTGTTGTGCAAAAAGAAAGTACAGGAGAAGAAGAAAGAAGGAAAAGAGACAAGGTACTATTAGGCAGTCTGGGGTTTTATCTGAGGCGCTTGTCATGCAGTGCTGAGAGATCTAACAAGTCTGGTTATTACTAATAGATGCTTTCTTGTGCTTAGGCATGTATTATTGCAATATAAATACCATTTAGCTCTTGCTTTTGTATCATGTCTGTGTGTAGATGACAGGGTGAAATCAAAAGGAGGTTTAAAAAATAAAGAAGTGGTTGGTCTGCTTGTTTGTCTAAATGCTTAAATGTAAGAGGATAGTGTTTACATTTGATATGTGTGGAATGAAAAACCTATGCAGCTTTTCTATTTTCTACAGTCAATCAGGAAGTTGACAGGTATTTTTCAAAGCTAAAATGGACTTAGAAATTGGATGGACAGCTGCAAAACATACACTGAGTTTTGATTATGGGCATAGGAATAAGGCCCAACATAACATGTGTGTCTTTTTTTGCGCAAACTGTTGTTTTTTAGCAAATTAATATTTGTCCTAACCGTCAATTCCTATATAAAAACCAACAGACCCTCACCATCTACACTACCATCAACATGTATGCTCCTCAGTGTCAGCCTAGACACACACGTGCACACTCACACACATGTAGTGCATACATAAGTTCACATATACACAAACCTCCTTTTTCCTGAAACCCTCCCTTACATACCAGAGTGCTTACCACTTCAATAGCTGTGACATGGTGAAACTGGGAGGCTGATTTATTTCTCAAAATCTAGCTCCCACATTTCCACAGGAACGTGAAAACTATAGGACTGTAACAGCATTAAGAAATATACAAAATAAATCCACTGGTTTACAATTTATAGCCGTAAGGGAAAGAAAAGGAAAATACAAAAAGGCTTTAAATTCACCCAACACATACATTTTCTTTTTTTGTTTCCATGTTTGAACAACCTTTGTCACAAACTGGAGATTCTTCAAAGCACCAAACTCATAATAACACACTTATGGCTGATGAAAGTACTACTTCATTAAATTCATAGGGAAATGATCAGAATGATTCACTCCTAATACAGTATGTCATACTAAGACACTTTTTCATTTTAGTCTACCATGTGTGCACAGACTGCTCCAAGAGCTCTGTAACCACCACGGCTTTCAGGGCTCTACTTAACAAATCCAACTCCTTGCATTAGTGTTAACAGCTGATACAGATGCTTTCCTCAAAGCCTGTTCAGTGTCTCTGATCACTTAGGCAGATTAGCTAGGATTTGCACCTACACACAAAGCAGTAAATAAAACACTAACAATAAACTATACCTGATGTTAGCACTGAAGAGCTCTAGGCAATGAAAGAGCTGCGAGTGAGCCTCCCTTGTGCTGGAAGGTATTTATTACAATGACCTGCTGACTACATTCATCTTTGACTCTCTCTGCAGCACTGCCAACTGGATGAGAAAGTGTATATTTCCTCATCTGTTCTTCTCTCTCTCCATTCAGATAGTGGTTAATAGGCCATCTGACCGAGTTCCAACAGAAACAGTCTGATTAAAAAGACATTCATCCTCTGCCCAGACACGTCTTGCACTGTCTTACACAGAAGTCCAATCAGCACACAGACACAACTGTCCACCCATGCTGTCACGTAGCAACATGTGCACAGAAACACACAAGCACCATTTCTTGTGTCTGTGTTTGTGTCAAATGTATTTGTTTAATCAGAATTTCCAGTGATAAAATAAAAAGATTAGAACTATAATAAGTGTATTCTACAGATGGCATTTAACTTACATAAAGTGAAAATGAAGTGAGTGTTCATAAAACAGCCATTTCTTGGGTTCTGCCTTCGTTGCATGTCATAGAACTCTCACCTTGCCCCTCCCTCCCCATTTCTACACTGTCCTCTGGCAAGTAAAGGTCGACATGCAAAAACAAATGTATTTTATTTACATTCCAGCAGCAGTGTTTAACTGCAGTGGACCCTCCTCTGATAACCTGCAGCTGACATGTATTTGACCTCTGACCCCTACATGCTGACCAACAGGGAGGGGTCAGACCAATAGAAGTGACTGTCTGACATGAGACAGCACCTCGATACGATAGACAAATTGAGGTGAACTCTTCAACCTCCTGACCCCAAACACTGCACACAGGAACTAACTTACAGTGAGCACACACATGGGCATGCGCACACTCTGGTTACAGGTGCATTTGAGTAGCAGACACATGTAGAGGTTGTTATGACGCATGCACAAACACATTGAAACAGAGAGTAAACTGTGTGAACAAAGTCTGCGGGAGCTACTGTATCCCTGTTATACTTAATACCCATGCGTTCCCACAGTTTGAGTCAGCACACGGTATCCCTGCCAGAGTGCAGTCTGTAAAACGGGTAATGAATGAGGCAGGAAACTATGTTGGATTCAGTACATACAGCCTAACCAGATGCATTAAAAGCCATTCAGAACTATATCGAACCTTATGGGGCCAGCTTGTGTTGAAATAAAATGTTTTTGCACATACTTCTTTCACATTCATGGTTTCTTTTGTGCAGTTGGCGATTGACCAATAGAGAAAGCTCCCACTGTCAATCTACACACATGCCAACAGGCACACAAACAGCTTCAAGTTAAGATCCACTTTGTACGGAAACAAGACACACGAAAACATAATTTCCCCCTACTTTTTTGCACATGCACACATGAAGTGAATACACACACTGACACCAACTTGCAGTACCTTTGTGTTGGCACTAAACAACCTCTCATTTGGGCATATATACAAAACATGCCAATCCATAAATCAGATGATAATTGAGTAGTACTGTGCCAGTAATAAACAGAGTAGTATAAACAGCCAGTGTCTGGGCTGGATACACCACCTCCCACTGGCATGCTGCTGGCTGCCTTCCTGGCAAACTCAAATACACACAAACACACACATACACAGGCAGGCACACAAACAAACAGACATGCACACACACACACACAGACACACGCTGAATGCCTTTACAGTAATGCAAAGACATACCCAAAACCACTTACCTGTTGGGTTTACAGCCACGTATGTGAAAACACGGAATGACATGAAGAAAAACACACATGATAGCAATGAAATGGGAAGAAGCTTAGCGGAATTCAACACAACAGAGAGGCTATAAGTCTCCAGTGACATAAGACAGGAAACATATAAAGTCTCTCATTGTGTTATTGCGGTGACAGGAATAAGGACTGAGATTTTTTGCTGTAAATGCATTATCCATTTACTGTCCCACTGGGATAGTCAATTCTCCCTGGGAATTAGATTTGAGCCAAAATTCCTCAATTTCCAACTTTATACCTGGGAACATTTATAATAACCTAAAATGTAATTCCATGATGTCAAAAGTGATGGCTACTGACAGTGTTGGTGATATTAAGAAATACTTACCCAGGTCTGCAGATAAATGAAACAAATGATAAGAAATTAAACCAAGTCATTAAAAACCTCACGTGCATAGGTCACAATGTGCATTTCTAGTTTCTAGTGTGATTACATCAGGCAAAAGGCAAGACAGCGTGAAAGTGGTTTCAAGTGCAGGGAGGACACAATCTAGACAGTTTATGTCTCATGGATTACTCCTTTATAAATACACCACTTAGGAAAGATTTGAGATCTGAGAAAGATCCGGTCACTTGGAAGGACACTGCTCTCTGAGGACACCCAGATGGTGTGTTGTTATGGATATATGTATGATTGAAGTTTGGACCCTCACCTCTCAAGGTCAGCAATTTTCTTCTCCTTGAGCAATTTGTCCATTTCAGCATCCCTCAGAGCCATCATTAGCCTCTCAACCTCCACTTGTGATTTCCCAGAATCCTCTTTGTTGCGAGCCACTTCCTGCTCCAGAAGCCTCAGACGGTCTGTGATGTCTGGACACTTCCGGACTGCTTCTTCAATGTTTTGGGTCTTGGGGGGAAGAAGAGGATACATGAGAGAAAGTAATATCCTGCATGGATTATTTAGGCCATCTCATACAAGGCTTTTCAAGGGCTGCTCTTTTTAAAGATTATTGTCAGACATAACTTTACGTTTAAACTTTGTGATATACTTCAACACGCATTAGCCTTAGCTGGTCTTTGTCAGCAAATAACACACTCTTCTTCTGTACTCCTTATAAACCACCTACAGATTTATTTTGGATAATTTCAGCATTGCAAAATATGAATGAACTAAGTTAGTTAGTCAATAGAATGTACAACACAATCATGAAGCTGCACCTTAAAAAACTATATATTTGTAAGTGAAAAACCTCAAATTTTACTTGTATCATGGTATGATAGAATTATGGAAAATATTATGCTAATACCTCAATATGCTACTTTGTTAACTGTAAGTATTAGCATGCTATCCTGTTTCAGGTGAAAGGCCAACTCTAGGGGATAAAAGCTGAGCGTAACAAAGGACACCTGAAGCTAATAAACTACAAGTGAGGCTGTGGTGCAGCTGTAGTCTGACCAAGCAGAGTTAAGAATGAAAGGGAACGGTTTAAAATGACAAAGGAAAGATATGACTGATGGATGTTGAGCTAAGCGTGACAAAATACAGCTCAGACAGATTCAAGTTAGTCTGGCAACAGAGAGCAGAGCATCTGTGATGTCCTAAAATGGCCTCACACACACACACGAGCACCAACAACCAAGAAGCATTAAATACAGTAACATAACTTACTGTGGGGCTTCGTGCTGGGGGTCCATCTACTTTGGCTGTTACCTAGAAGGCAAAGTAAAAACAGAGTTTAAGAACCAGGTACAATATACAATTTTACATTTTCTAAGACTGAAGATTGGAGACTGACTGTAACTGTATACAAGGTCAGTTAGGAGATATTCCTGCGAATGTAACTTAAGTAAAGGTAAGTCAGTCCTGAAGATGTGGTCAGGGTCACCGTCTATCTGAAGCAGAACCAGTCTGTGCCTTCATCCGCTCTCATCATTTCATCACCCCACCCCCCTTCTCCTCTGCTGACTGATTTTGTGTGGTTTGTGTCTATCAGTTGCCTCCCTGGGGCGTCTGTCAGTAGAGTTTGGAGTTCAGTCATTATCATTATAAAATTACCGTCTCTCTCTGTTTGGCTGCGATTTTATGAGACCACCAAACCTCTCCAAAAGTAAAATGTTGAAAAAAACAGAGAAAGACTGATGAATTCTTTCTTCTCTGAGAAAAATATCCCAGAGGAAGTTTGTACCCTAGAATTATCTTTCTCTCTACTTGTCTCTGTTTCGCTTGGTCTTTACTCTCTGTCTACTGTGTTTGTGAAGATTGGTTAACTTGTTGAAACAGCTGAGGCCACTCGTTTAAACATCATCAAGTGAGAGCGCACAAACACACACATACACTCACACACAGCAATTTATTGTCAGGTCTACATAGGTCTGGGACTGTACATGTAGCTATGCTTGAGTCTGTTATTAAAAAAAAACAAAGAATGACTGTCAACTATTACCGCTAGCCAATTCTTTACCATTTAAAAAAACCCACTAGATGAACCAATTGTATAAATGGGCCTCTGTATATGGGAGATACAGCCATGGGCACATGTTTTTTAGATACTGTCAGGTAGCTCTGCAATAAACCGTTTAAACCATTTATTTAAAACACACACTTATAATGTCTATGACTTTTGTTTTATTTTAGTCCTGCCCGGGGGAATATATGAGTTTGACTGACTGTCTACAATATATGTGCCACATGTGACCTAAAAAGCCCCATAAGCTTGTGACTGTACTGCATGTGTATAGAGACGAATGCCTTTACTGGATATTAAAAACAGTGAACTCGAGATTGAAAACAAGTGAAAAAGGGGGAAAAGTTGGTCCTCAGGAAGGAAAGCAGAGTCATTGTTTAACTCCGCCTCACCCCCATTACCTCTGCACCTAGCCTCACACACACATCAAACCCAATCTGAGCTTGCACAAAATGCATTAAGGCTAAGTAGACCAGAGTTTATGTTCTTACGTTGGAAAGTACAGAGAGGGGAAAAGCAGGGGCTAAAAGACGGCTGGTCCAACAGGAATTAGTGATATTATGACAGGAGGGGGAAGGCCAGTAAAGATACGATTACATATTTGGTCACTGAAATTATTATTATCATTCCTGGAAATGTCTCTGAACTGTAAATATTACAAATAAGTTAAATATGTGTGGCCACCATGGATCTAAACTGGGTCACAGGATACCCAGCACCTAGATCTTTTTTACTCCTGAGGGTAATAACTGTCTCGAGTATATAATATATCTTAGATATGACAGCTTTCTATCTCATTCAAGATAGGTCAGTGCAAACAATCAATGTCTGATAAGTCTAATCTTCATATTTTCTTCCAATAAAAATGTAAAAAAGGAATAGGAAAAAGTTTCATGTATGTATCATAAGGATAAGACATTTGTCTGGTTGGAAAAATAGTTTTTTGAATAGGACAAAAGTGAGTTGAGGTGTGGTGCCTCCTTGCTGATTTACGCCAACCCTCTCTGAAAAGGTCACAGCCTTCCCTTAGGTGCTTTACAATTTTCTCTTTGAAGAACTAGTGTTTAGTTTCAGAAGTCCTTTATTAACTTCGGAATCAACAAATACTGTTTTATGGGAAGTGGATGAGGAGGCAGTGAAGTCAACAAAGCTGTGAGGTCAAGATACAAAGATCCACTAATAGCTCGACTGAGTCAGCAATACAAACATCTGCAGATACAGTGTGTGGGCCACAGCATATCCGTATGAGGTAAATGGCCGTCAGGCAAAAAGCTTATTCCTAAATTTTCTTAGGAATTTCAGAAATATGAGATTATCGTCAATTTAGGCTATTGCTAATACAACTTTAGAGTTGTTTTAGAAGCTTTAAAGCATTTACTATAAGAAGCTGGTTTGCGAAATAAAATGTATTATTCAGATTTATTAAGATTTTGTGGAGTGTCACAGCAATATTTAAGTTGCATTAACAAAAGGGATTTGAGGGTTTGAACACATTTTCTTAGGATTTTTTAAATTGAGCTAATTAAGACCAAACATCATTTGCTGTCTAGTTTTAGGTCAACACTGGATGAATCTTTATAGCAGACATTTTTTTTTAAAGTAGTATAATAACATCATTTTGTTTTCCGCTAACAAATGTCTGCCCATTTCAAGCAAACGATTGGAGACAAAACTATTATTGACTTCTGATGCCCCGTTTTTTCTACTCCATGATTGAAAGCTGAGTAACATTCTTGTTTTGAACAGGCTGTTTTAAAGAAAAAGGAAAACATTTGCGGTGAAGTTTTGTATTGGTATTAAATCTACAGTGTCACACACACTTTTTGCTGCCCCCTCTGAATCTGGCGGCTCTGGTGAGGATTAGGCATCTTACTGGCGACAGGGGAGACAGACCGGGCCTTTCAGTGCCAGGGACAGGTGTAAAGGGCACCAAAGGATTTTCTCTGATGTAGAAACAATCAACAGTTGTATACATTTTAAATTACCGGTATGTTTTAAGCTTGTGAGGTTGCTTGAGGTGCACAGGGTGCGGTTTCACACGCACGCACGCACGTACGTACGCACGCACGTACGTACGCACGCACGCACGCACGCACACACACACACACAGAGAGAGACCTGCTAAATGTCAGGCGCTCTGGTGCTACCTATGAAAATGTTTAGTCGCACTTGACAGACTTTTGGTAACACTCTGGAGCCCTGCTAAAGCAAATGGCGCGTGTGAATGTATATGTGTGTGTGGAGAGTCGGTTTGATCAGAATCTAATCTCAGGCACCATGTCAGTTCACCTCTGACCTACTGAGTATTACAGCCCTCACAACCTGTCACACTCCACTGAACTGCAATAGGATCAAACACACTTTGTGACGGCTTTTGTGTCCAACTATTAGTTTTTGTTTTTATTTTATCGGGTGCCAGCCTTGAGATATCCTAGCAAAAGTTGTATAGGGAAAAATCTCAAGCACACACAAATATTGTGTGCCTTAATTGTAAAATAAATTACATATACAACCTCAATAAAAGTAAACATTTGTAACACAAAGACCTTGAACAACAGTTTTTCAAAGTGTTTTTCAGTATTTTCAAATAATTATAAATTGCATTAAGAAAAATTACAGAGACAGTCTTCTTTGAAATAGGCACACTAAATATGTTTTACTAAAAACAATGACTAATCCTGTACTGTGACATTGTTAGGAAAGACACACACACACACACACACACACACACACACACACACACACACACACACACACACACACACACACACACACACACACACACACACACACAAAGCAGTTCGCATTCACCAGACATACTGTAAGGGTTTTACTGACTACTGTTTCTTTTAGGGAAGGTACATTTTTTTCTTTTTATGATGGCAATTTAAATGACTCGGTTAGACTCGGCTAAACACATGCAGACACTCATATATCCGCACAAACATGCATTCAACAGTTTAGTCTGTGCTGGCAGGCATGCACAGGCACACAGAAAGAAACACTCACACACACATACTAACAAATATATACACACAAACATCTGTGTTTTTGAATAATCTTCAAGTTTACATAACAGGTCTGATTGCTGTCGAGTACACAAAATATTCCAATTATGGCAACACTTCTGTCAGAGTGTGAATCTGCTGGCTACAAAGAGTTACTGAGATGCTTTGCTTTCATGTGGTGCCTCGTCAACATTCAACAAGATATCATTTCACAGGAATGAAATGTGTGTATGCTTTTTATGAGAATAAAAAAAACATTCTCATAAATTCTGGCAGGGCAAGATTCTGTCCTGGCTTGTAGGCCTTGGAGAGGAAAACGAAGGAGAAAAAAGACAGCCAGGCTTTGACTTGGCACCTGAACAGGGAAAGAGGGATCTTTTACGTCCATAAATCACTCTCCCTTAATTCATCCCTTTATCCTGTGGGACAAAGTGCAGGCAGGCCCTTTGCTAGGGAGTTGCTAACAATATTGTGGATGCGCACAGGGAGGTAAGAGCGTGGAATGACTATTACAGTAGATGTACGCAGTGTAAATACAGGGTGCAAGCAGGGTATTACACCAATGCAGAGTGGTTGTAAAGTTAATTATTTTCATTCTTTATGTACAATAAAATATAATTATAAAGTGTCTTGATGTTCCTTTTGAGATTTCAGAAGTAAAAGATTTCGAGAAATGTATTTGTTTTATGAGGTCTGTTTGGCTCATTTAAGAGACTGACACAAGTGTAGAAGCATGTGCAATTCTGTTATGATGTGGATGCCGATGAAATATTGATTGCCGTTTGTCTGCAGTCCACACACATACCAGACTACCAATCCTGTGTACAGTGCTCATATCCACACGCAAAGTTTGAACCACAGGGTTTGTTTTGGATATTTTAAATTCAATGTAATACAATAGCCAACACATATTTACCTGAACTACCAACAATGCATGTCACGCACCTTTTTCTATTTACAAAACATCACATACCTTGATCAAAACAATCCATACTGACCTCTTCATCAGGCCTCTGGTTTGTGGTCAGGACGGGGATGGCAGGCTGACTCTGAGTCAGTTTCAGGGGCTGCAGTACTGAAAGTTTGTCCTTTAATAGCTGGTTTTCCTTCCTCATCAGTTCCAGCTCCTCCATGCGAACCCTGTCTTCCCGCTCCTTCTGATCGCGCAGATTCTCAATCACACGCTCCTGAGTTAGTAAAAGAACAACAGATAAGAGAGGTTTGATAAGAGATGGGAGTAGGAGTATAGTAGGGACAATATGTATTATCTGCATAAATGTTTGTTCACATTTAAAAACTGTGGGTTTTGCTCCCAGAGTGTAAAAGATGTTCAGCCCTGTATGATTACAGTTTTATTTTCCTATCATTATAAAAATATCGGAACCAGTCTCTGGCTGCTTAGGCTTGCCAGCATGTCTTGCAAAATCAGGCCACAGACAAACTCATAAAGGCCTGACATAAATAATAGGGCCATAAATAATAGCAGGGACAAGAGAAGATCAGAGCAAAGTAGAACACAGAGAGACGGAGGAAGTAGGAGAAGGATTGAGGGACAGAGATAGATTTATTGAAAACAGGTTGGACAGAACAGTAGATCACATCCTAACGGCTTCTCATCACCTGCTATTAAACCAAGCTGGAGTATTTACATCACCATTTTCTCTTTTCTTTAATCACATTGGACAGCAAGAGGACTACGGATTTGGCCATTGGCCTGAGACCAGGTCCACACCATGGGTGGCGAAGCATGCAAGGTGTGTGTAGTAGGTTGTGTTAAGGTGTATGTGTGTGTGTGTTTAGGTGTGGACTGAAGTGATTATCAAGGTGTTTACTCAGGTGTTTATTTAGGCATAGAGCACAGCTCAGCAATGACGCTTTACGATGTGGCATCGCCGCATGATTGGCAGCTTTAAACTTCGGGGTAATTGGACAAATACACCCACTAACTAGACCTGGCACAGTAATGCACTGCATAGTGAGCTATAGACGAGAGGGTGAGAGAGAACGAACAGAGGGAGAGAGACCACATGGCTAATAGGGCCTGGGTGTTTTCCCCACATTTTGAAATATCTCTAGGATGGAGTTCAGGGAAAAGAGACCGGGATGTGATAATTAAATCTGCCTTTATAAGGCTTAAGTATGGAGCATACTATACATAAACAAAACACAAACGCACACACATAACATCACAGACAGGGACACACACACAAACAAACACACACACACATACACACATACATAAAAGCACCAAAGAGCAGGGCTCGTTGGGCACAATGCCCTCGCCTGTTAATTAGAACCACAGTACTGTGGCTGGCGACTGGCTCCAAGAGCAGGTTTGTGACAGGGAGTGTGATTAGCAACACACACACTCACTCTTGTAAACACATTACACACACCCTGTGTTGACCACAAAGTCTGAAAAGCTCGCCAATGTTCTCCTCATCACAGCTGAATTATATGTAGGCTGCATCAGAAGTGGTTTCTGGGTAAACAGATGGGCCAAGGCAGAAAAGGGATTTGCAGTTTATAATGCCATTATGCTATTCATTTCAAAGTCTGTCGGCAACAAAAACAAATTTAGGTGATAAAAGATCATTTTAAATGAAAACATCAATGTACTGAATGAAAAACACATCAGCCAAGATCTTGTCTATTAAAAGACTGACTTCTGAGAACACAAAGCATTTTTCCTTGATGCTAATTCAGTGTAGATCAAGTAAAATAAAGACTTAAAATCAAAGGACATGTTCGCAGCCTACTGACAAACACCCGCACATATATATGTGATCATACCTGGCAGGAACTCAAGCACCCTCGTGTCTGACTCCACTTAACCTGCTTTCCCATGATCAGTCAAAGCACTTACCATTGTGTAAAAACACATACATGTTTATTGAGTGGGCACTGTAAGCTGACTCAGCGCTAATGATGTTCCTCCGATTTAGAATTGCTCAAAAAAAAAACATGGAGTTGCTTTCATTAGATTGGAAATTGTTTGAACTTTGACCTAGTATTAACACCACCTTTCAAAATGTCAGTAATGAAGCATATCGCTAGTTCAGGCAGAGCACTGAAGTCACGCTTGTATTGGCTAATTGGGTTCAGCTGTTTTCAGTTCGCTTAGCAATGATTGGCTCACTCAGTTGTGGCTTGTAACATCCAATCTTTAGCAAGCAGACATACAGAGCAGATATCATAACCTTACGTTGTGTAGATGATGAAGCTCATGCTAATGCCATTTGCTGCCCCCGAACACTCCACCTCCCTAACCTCCTTTTATTTTGTGTTTTTTTTTTGGTTGATCTGACTGGGTAAACACAAGTAACACATGCTAGTTTTACACACAGACATGTATAGGCATAAACATGCACAAATAGACTATGTGCACATGGGAACACACATAAAAAAGTGGCAGCCACGGGCAAAACAAGATATATGGCTGGACACCCACATCTGTCCTAACTGAGAACTCTATAAACTCTTAAGCAGCAGCCAGTGCCAACAAAATGTAAACCAGCATCCATCTTTTAGCCTGCAGTGCAAACAAACATGTAAATGGGAACCATTATTTAGCCTGCAGCGCCAAAGCAATCATTTTTTAAGACTTTAGTACCAAAGAAATGTCTGCTAGCAACAACTTCAAACATTCAACAAACTTAAGCAAGATCGAGTCACACTGAAATCAAGCCAGTCAGTTCAAGGTAGACTGTTTATACTGCCAGTCTAGAATTTGACATCTCCATTGTCATTTACAGTTCAGTATATCCTATCAAATCTACCCTGTGTTCAAGCATGTCTCCAATTAGAACATCACTGGCGACCAGACAGCTAACTACATTGCAAAAGGTTTATGTAAAAGAAAATAAACATTTAGCTTTCAAGTTGCTATTTACCTGGGAATATGGCAAAATCAATGGGGTTATATTGGGTAACTGAGTCTGTGTGATGAAATGTACCGCATTTGACTTAAAGGGCCCATGTCATGGCCATTTCCACTGATCATAATTCCATTGTTGAGGTCTACTAGAATAGATTTATATTGTGCAATTTTCCAAACTCACATTGGTTTCTCATACAGCATCTCTGTAAACTACGTGTATTCACTGAATTTCACTCTCTGCCTTTAACAGCTCGTTGTAGCTCCCAAAGCTCCAGCCCCCACCCTCCCTGTGAGCCCAGTGTGCTCTCATTGGTCGGGACGTTGTGAATCGCGCTGAGCTCCGTGGAGGTGTTGTTTCCTTGTTAGCGATACACAGCCAAACACAGCCAAACTCATCCTGAGCACACACAAACTCACATCCGAAGTAAAAACAATAAGTGTGGCTTGATATTGAGTAAGAAAAAGGTTGATAAACGCTGTGAGAATGGGTCTGCAGAGAGAATTTCGCCGCGATCCCAACTGTCTGTTATCAGCCTGCAGCCAGGGAGGAGAAATCAGCTGAGCTGCCTGCTCCCTGCACACAGATGTGTGTGTGAGGAAGTCCGTGGATTGGTCAATTTGGACCAATCAGCGGGGGCTTAACGTAATGGCTTCGCGGACGTAACGTAACGGCTCCACGGATTGGTCCATTTCGTTCCGGGTACGGCTTGACATCATGCCGTACCCGGAACGAAATGGAAGAATCAAATGGACAATGACGAGGCGTTTTGGGGAGGTATTTTCTGTGTTAGAGTTTTACTCGCTACTAGGGGTGTTGAAAATAATCGTTTCTACGATGCATTGCGATGCGGACGTGGACGATTCGGTCTCGATGCAGTGACGGAAGATAATCGATTATAGCGTAGTAACGTTGCTTCCTGATTTTCCGGCCGCGGCTTTAATATAACGTTTTTTTTTTCTGTCACTTTAATATCAAATCGGTCGGTGACGCAGAGATCAGGGAACAGACGTGACAGCAGCACAGCGACACCAAACACGGAGCAGTCTGCTTTATCCACCAACACAAGAACACCAGTCCAGAACCAACAGCAGAAGGACCCGCTCTGAATCACTCCGTGTCGCTGCGGCTCAGAGACACAAGGATTTATGTTTTTCAAAAATAATCGCGTTACAATCATGTCAGGTTTTTGGTGGATTTAATTAAGTAATGGATTGCAGAGTATGAATGTCCTCTAGCAATTTTCAGACGATATATACGTGTGTAAAGTTTGTGAAGGCAGGAGGAAAAAAGCTTCCGCGATCACCGTCTCCTCTCCGTTCCTCCAAACCCCGCCCCCTCCCTGAAAATAATGAGTGACAGGCTGATAGTGACCCGATAGAAACTTTATTATTCACTTTATCACTGATTGAGATATAATGAAGCTAACTTAATCTCATACATTCATGGGATGTATGTAACAGTAAGACAGAGAATGTAAGTGTGCACCCACATGCAGTATTTTTGTTTGTATATGCTGTTGTAAATACTCCTGTTGTCGGCTGTGTTCAGACTCAAGTCCTGTTAGTGATGCTACATTCAGGACATTCAGTGTCCTTTTTTTAACAGAAGACCGTTGCTAGAAGCTGCAGCTAGACTGCAGAAGCATTCGTTTTTTGTTTTTGAGGACGGAACAACTTCACACACAGATATAGGGAGGCTAGACATATACAATTAATTAATTTTGGTTTATAAATGAATGTCAAGACATTTATGTTATTGATTTCTGAATCACTTTCTAAATAATAAAAATAGAGTTCATATGTATTTACTGCATGTATGCATTGATGAAAAATAAGCCATGTGCAGTAATATAGAAAATTGAGGATGCAACGCATTGGTATGAATCGTGATGCATCGTGATATCGAATTGAATCGAATCGTTGACAGGATAATCGTAATCGAATCTAATCGTGAGACCAGTGAAGATGCACAGCCCTACTCGCTACAGGGTGTACTTTGAGGGTTTGTGACTCTGCACACCGTTTACATGCATAAAAACCTTCATAACACACAAGGGGACGGGTAATAACCGGAAAAGCATGACATGGGACCTTTAAGTGAAAACACCACAGTAGCCAGCAAGACCATTCATCTTTAGTGTAGTGAGGCTGAGGTGAGGCTTTATGGAGACCAGCTGCTCTCTCATGTTGCCAGAAAAACAACAAAAGCAGCATGTTTACGATCAACATCCAGATCATACACTCACCCGTCCACGGATGTGAAGTGAGCCTGTTCAGTTCACCTTGATTCACATGGCAGTTCAGCTATGAGCTTGTATGCAGCAGTGTGTCTTCCAGTGTGTAAATATGGGTGCTCATTATAGTATTTGCCTAGGCTGTGTAGGCCAGTAAATCCAAAAATCAATTATAATGATATTTTACTAACATTGCACCGGCATTGTATAAATTACATTGAGACTTTCCAGACTTTGCCTCTCTCTCATTATGTTCACACACGGTACCAGTTGCTAATCTTTTCCTCTATATGTGTGTGGCTGTTATCAGTTATTGAATTTCCATCCCAGTCTGATCCGTTGTAACTGTATTCCTCTTGCTAGCTCTGTTCTTTCTCTTCTTTTCTCATATGTCTAGCAGAAGTTACTAATTTTTTACTCAGCCTCCACCCTTACATTCCTTGACCTCTCCCTCCCTTAATTCTGGGGCCACCTCTTCCATCAGGGCTGTGCCTCTTCTGCTATACGGCTTTTCCATCCCTCCATTCCTCCCCCTTTCAAAACTTCCATCCTCCTCTTATTCTATAGATCATCCCCTCCCTATGTTCGGCTTGGTTATAGACAGGGACTAATCCTCTGTCTATGTTCACCTTAGACCTCCCTATCCCTTCTCTCCCTTACTGTTTTCTAAGAGGACCTCATCTCCTGTGGTCCCAGGTCTATAAATCTGGAGGTTGTGTCAGTAAATTATGGCAGTGAGTCATAACAAACCACGCAACTTAATTAAGCCGTATGCCGGATACCAGCTTACAGAAAGAGCAGTGTGCCTCAATGGGTAAACATTTACAGACTCTTCAAGACCAAGTGGTGGTCAAATGGTTTCATTATGTGTGTTTTTTATTGTCTGCATCTAAAACCAAGCTTTAGTTTTCTTCATTTATAGTGTGCATAATTCTTCACACCATCGACCCAGCAACTATTCTAACATAGCAACCTCAACCCTCACCTTGAGTCCGTCTTCTCGGCAGTAGGTGTTTGCCTTTTTTTTTTTTACTTACAACCTTTTCAACAATGCCATCCGTGCCCTCGCTTCACCCCTCCCTCTTTTCTGTACCTTTTCTGACAGGGCTTCCTCCAGAGTGGAGAGGGCTGTGTCTGTGTTGCTGGAGTCAGTTTGGAGGCCTTGGACCCTTTCCCTCAACCCAGCCAGCTGTTTGTCCTTATCCTTTAACTGCTCCAACAGGTTTTCAATCTGAAAAGAGAAGGACAGAGACAAGAGGAGCTCAAGTTAGCATATTGATGTTGAACAAGCAACTCACAATCAAAAAGGTTAAAAAAAGTCACCAGCAGAAGAAGATACACTAGCATTTGTAAAATGTACACAACTGTACTAGCCTTGAGAAAAATGTCCCATTGATTCATTGAGAAAAATGTTTTCTAATTTTCTTTCTCTAATTTCTTGCTGTGATGTATTCCAATTTGGCCTGGCAGCTTAAAGATGAGCAGCAATAAAAGCCTCATTGTAGGGCTTGGGTCAAGACAATTATGGTTTGATCCATGAAGAGAGAAGAAGTTAGACTTAGTGGTGTTAACAACACGACCATTAAATAGTGTGACCAAATCAGCTTCGGTACCAGTTTAGTCAAGTTTTACTAAGAGTTGATTCATCCCATTGACTTACAGGACGGTACATCTGCCTTTCTGCGGCTAACCTCATGTCGCTAAAGTGGTGGTGTAATAGCCAGTTGTGGTGTTCAAAAGCCTTTATCTGATGAACATCCGTAAAACAGAACACAATCACACAAAGACACACATGCACACACACAAACACAAAGTGCTCAGAGCTGTACCAGACAAAACACAAGCAGATGCAGCTGGTAGGACACAGCACGATGCAATGAGTCTCCAGAGGTCTACACATTAGTCACAAAGGGAGAGCACATCTGGTGACAGGAGATGGTGACATGGTGACTTATCATTTCCACAAGCACACTCAACATTCCTTTATATTTCACTTAAAAGGCAGTTACATTTTGCACAGTTGATAGACTCACTGAGATGCACTGGCTTAGAGCTTTTATTTTCATGTCTCCATCTTACTCTTGTTTAGTGTTTTCTTTTTTAAGAGAGACAAAGCTCCATTCAGTAACTTCTGCAAAGCATTAATTCGGCATTTGACCCAAGTGGACCTTTCTCAGATCAGAGCTTGTGCTGTACAAAAGAGAGGCACATATACTGAAAAGAATGTATTATTTAATGAACATGAGAATCCAATAAAAACAAGAAAAGCACTTCAGGCCATCAAGAGACCAGATTTTAACTGAGATGGTGACAGGGTAAAAAAAAAAAAAGTCCAGTGGGGGGGAATTAGCTGCATTCCAGTCATGGGTACATAGATAGATAATGTCCAAATCTCCACAGCTATTTTACAAATGAATCCAATTAGACTGTAGACTTTGGTGTTCTCTGATCCCTGGAGGGCAAGAGCAAAGATTTAAAGGAGCCATCTTGGTTTTGGCAATGGAGGGAAAAGGCATTCAGGACCCCTCTGCAGATCTTGATATGTTAATGACAGTCATTATATAGGGACATTAAACCCTTCAGGGAATGATGGGAAGGTTTCACACTGCCAAAGTCAGATACAATTCCCAGCAATTCATGATTGCCATGAGTGTTTTAGATGGGATTCTAGGGTGGGCACTGCCTCTGAAAGAAAAGTGAGGTTTATATTGTTTCCTCATTTATTCTCAAATGTTTCTCTCATTTGATGTGAGTTGGCTGAAGAGTCACTTCACACTTTTCCAAGGACGTAGGCACTTGGCACTTGAGTAAGACACTCTATACCAGTCATGATCTGTACATCTTGAAGGTACCGGTGCGCTTGCCACAAATTACATAAGCCTGATGCTGGAACATGCTTATCTCCACATGCAGTAAACACAAGAGGAAGTACAAACAAACGAAGTATCTGGCCTGGCTTCGAATTGTAGCAGCACAGTAGCTTTGACATACCTTGTTCTCCTAAATACGCACGGAAACATATACATAAGCACTCATGCACACCCTAGCTCCCTATTCCTACGGATACCACAGAGCCTTATTTCAGGCCAAATTGAGCATGTCGCCTCTGGTCTTAGATAAATGATTACATTCTTCACCAGCCTAAGTTTGCTTTGGCCTGGTCGCAAAAAATAACAACCCCTCGATGAAATATCTAACCATGTCGCTCTGCCTTCTGTGAAATTGTGCAGAAAAAACGTTGAACATAACGTAAACGCTACATCACCATATGAGAAGCACGTCACGTGATTCATGGATATGGGAAAAAGGGGCAAGGAATTCTGTCAGAATTCTCCAAATCAAAACACACTCTCTGGAGAGAAATGCCTTTCGTTGACAGGCAAGGCACAGGGCAGCCGCATGGTTTTCTGGGAGAAAAGGGGGCCTCCCAACCAGTAGCTCAATTGTTATGATGAGAACAGCAGTCATTCATTTTATCTCTCAGTGTATGAGGCTCCCTCAAACTCTACTCCCGCATCTCTCTCTCTCTCACACACACACAGACTTTTATCATTAAACCACCGCGCATATGTCATCCCACTCTCCCACCACACACACCTCCCGCTGAAGCAGACCACCTACGATAGGCAGCTACTCCGACTCTCTGAGCCATGGACTGCGGTGTGGACTGTCTGTCTCAGTGAGTGTATCCTCCTGAGAAATCATGACGTCTGTTTCAGTCGTCTCCCACACACATGGCTCCTCACTGTTTACAGCCATACGGTTTGACTCTGATAACCTTATCACCAAGATGATAGGACAGGACCACGTTTTCCTTAAATGTGTTGAAGCTCAATAACCTTTTACCAACCGTGACTTCAGACATGACATTAATCTTTCAAAACAGTAGTTGAATTTTGACGAATCATTGATATTACTATGTAAAAAATGGGCAACCTTGCTCACCTAGTGGATAGGGCTGCTGATGTAATGTTGAGTCCTAACTCCAGTAGCCCATAGCATTTTGCTGCATATTATCCATTATATACTTGTTGGTGCTGGCTTCAGTCATATTGTAATTGACTTACCAACTTGTTTCAGGGGGCTTTAATATTGTCACCAGTGAAACCAAACCTAAGCAAATATGGCATGTAGAATTCATAGATATGAGACAGATAGTAGGCTTTGCAATTCCTTGGGAGCTTTTTTGTTGCAGTCTGTAGTGTATCATCATGATTAGGACAAGCTGAGCTCTAATGTTTTGGGAGAGAAGTTAGTGAAACAGTATCAGGTCCTGTGTCTCTGGCGAAAAATTGTGATCTAAAAGCGGTTTGTTCCGGAGAAGAACCACAAACCCGGTCAACCCATTTGTCTTCCACCCAAACTAGGAACTAAAACTCGATGGCCTCCAGTGGAATCATTTCTACAGCACACAAAGGAGACCAGCACCGAGCGTGACCGCCATAAAAATACAAACGTTTGTATTTTTAAAACTCTTTTGGACCAATAAAAATACCAAACAATAATTGGTCGCCCTTTCTGAACAGCACATTTCTCTGCGCTTGTCATCAGCTCTGAAAATATGACAAAGACAGAAGTAAAACCAAAGATCCTGGCACTGATATGAATGCATTTACCCAGACACACACACAGACACACACATACAGCAACACCCAAATACTCAGAAGGAGGATAACCGCAAACAGAACAATATGTAGTAACAGTGTGAACCTCCCCGGAGAAATCTAGGTCAGTCAGACCTAGAAACACCATGAAAGATCATGTTCTGGAAATATCATTCAGCTACTTTAAGTACTCCAATACCACATAGTGCAATCCAAATAAAACATGTGCATACAAAATGCTGTGTGTTTATATATTGATGTGTCATAATAACATGTACACCTGCACACTGTTCCACAAGTCCTGCCATTAGAGCGTGAAGATTCAGAGTTTAATAACGGACTTCCTCCTGCTGCTCAGCACTCAGATGTGGCTCTTCAAAGAGAAACACAGATTGGTCATGAAGTTGAGGGAAGATAGTGACCTTTTCAGTGGAGAGGGTGTGCCTAAACTTCACTTAACCCCTGTTGCACCACCACCCCTTCTATGGCTCTAAAGCAGGGCAATATGGGCAACTCTGGCAGACTGAGAAAACACTGATACTGTGTAAGCTGGCGCCCCCATGTGGTCATTTTCTGCAACATGCTCATATATCCACTTATGGCAACTCCGAGTTCATTTAAAATAAAAAGTGATGTGTTATTGTGTGTCCCCCCAAGCATCCCCTGCACGAGGACAGCAGAGTTGGACAGACCACAGAGGAGACTCACATTTCCAAAGTTTGGAATAAGTGAACTCGATATATGTGACACCTCTTTATCAGGGCAATATATAACACAGAAGAGATACCCAGAAGTCCCACAAGTCATCTTTTTATTAGAGATAATATCAGTAGCTTAAAATAAAATTGTGAGCAAAAATAAACTGAGCTCCTGAAAGTACTGAGGTATCTGCCACTATTACTCAAAGCTGTGAAGTCCCCATCAAATGTTTATAGACATTTGATTCAACTGTCTGGGAATGTAAAGGACAATGTGTCACAAAGACCTTTAAGCAGAAAATTACACCTCTCGCCTATTCCCCTCGAATGACCTTCCTGATGTCATGCTGCTTTGCTCGAGGAGTCATTACTCATCTGTTATCGACCAGAACGACCGAGCAAAATGACTTCATAAGATGAGTGGTGCCCAAGAGAGGGAGAAAGAGAAGGGTGGGTCACAACGCTCACGTTCTGAAATCATTCACACTTTTCTAAGTAGAGCTCATTCTTTATTTCTGTCAAGGACACTTTACTGTATGTCAAAGAATGTTTGATAAAAGAATGAAAGGAAATCCCGATTTCTACGCCTTTTCGAACTGTTTGCCAACATTAACCTGCAGAAGTGCACTGGGCACATTTGCACAAAAACATGTATTGTGCCACTGCGTACCTGCATGTGTACATGCCTTTGTATATGTGCTGTGCTCTTCTCTACCTGAACTGCTATTCCTCCAAACCAAAAAGGGCCATGCAAAAGCAGAATCTAGTGTTGAAAAGCCAAACAGGCAGGTTCTCGTCAATCTTACAGCCAAGGAAATAAATGGTTTGTCGAGGCAGAAGTTAGACCAAACGAAAGAGACATCATTTTCTACGGGTCTCACTAAGATTATGACTGAGGCCTGTGACTCACAGCAGCTCGCCCCAACATT